CTCGATTTGACCTCACAGTAAAATTCTGAGGATGTAAATGGAGACAGTGTCACAGATCCATGGGGCAGCAGGTGCCTGGCCAGAAACATTAGCCCTGCTCCTCCCCAAAGAAGATTCTGAGCTAGCCTCATATTTCCAGTCATTTAAGACTGCAAAAATCTGAAGCATGCTATTGACCTCCTCCTTCCTTGATTGCTACGTGTCTCCTGTCTCAGTCAGGAACATTAATGCATCACCTTCCAGCTACAAACAGTCACAGCTACTCTAACATATTCTTCTTCTCCATTCATTTTTAAGAAATTCTAGCAGAAGAAAATATAACATGAATTGTAAAATACAGGATGAACAACTCCTCCATTATAAGCTAAGTTTTTCTATTCTTGTCTATGATCTTTTATCACTTAACTGTAAGTTTAAAGTATGAAGACATTCCATTATCCTCTAGTTCAAAACAGTAACATTCATCTTTCAAGTACATCTTTAGAGCTGAAAAGACACTGAAGACAGTAACATTATTTAACACGAGTAGATTTCTCTTTTATTATTATCATCATTATTATTATTCCAACTTACTGAAAGAACTGTATAATGAGAAAAAAAATTTAAAAAAACATTCAGGCAAATTTTTCAACAAAATAAATGTAATATGACTGCTTTCTTTTGTACATGGTACAGATAGACAGGTGTAACTAGAAAACAGTTTAATCCCTCTAGACTGAGGTTAATGAGAGAAAAATTGTCAAATTCTTTTTTGTATTTGCATATGCACATATGCAAAAAAAATTCAAGGCGTTAAAACCCACATTATTATAAATACAAAAAGCTGATCATTAACTACTCATACACTTTATTCTTGTACTTAGTACCATTATCAGTGGAGCCCTTAAATGGGTCATAGTAACTGCTATGTAACTGTCAACATATAAAAACTCTTACTTAGAAAAATGGACAATGTTCTAAACTCAGAACACTTTAACTTTGCCCTTGCAGACACATATTCCCTTCTTCATAGACAAAAACTTTATGGGGGGGAAGAAATAAATTTAATAATAATAAAAATGTTTTTGAATAAATATTCACAGGAAATAACTAAATGGGAGCATGCTTGCTGCCAGCTGCTCAGCTGGTAGACCTGTACCACTTGCTTGTTCCTGTCATTTCATTCTTTGTTCCTTTAGGCATTAAATCCATCATAGTGTTTCATGTTTCCTTTACTGGACTAAATGTTCAGGGTGTAACAACCCTAAAGAACAATGCAAAAGGTGGGAAATGCAACTGCACTTAACAGCTTTATTTTGGGATCTAAGAGAAGACTGAAAAGATTATTTTGTGTAACACATAAATTATGCATCATAGGCCCCAATGAAAAGAGAGAAGGGCAAATGATACTTGGAGGAAAAGTGTCCCATACATGGTGTTTTTGTTGGGCAGCCCTTCTAAGAAGTTAGGATTTTATCCATGACAGCCCATACTTTGAACTTGCAGAGGAAGCATGAATTTTTATTTTTCTCCAAGTACCATTCCACAATAAAAAGCCAGCCTCAAAAACTGGAAGGTAATAAAGTTAAAAAACAAAACCAGAAACTAAATCCCAAAAACCCAGCCCCTAAACAACATCCACCCTCCCTCCAACCTAGCAGCCATTTATTTATTTGTTGAATTTAGATAATGGAAATCTCATTACCATATTCTAGAAGTTTCGCTAGTCTAAACTACACGATAGAGTACTATGTTCTGAAAACCAGTATAGCCAATACTTTCAAATCAAAGGAAAACAATCAGAACAGCAATGATGAGCATGACTGTACCATTTGAGCAAAAATAAAGAAAAATAAGTTTAAAACATAGTGTTTAAACATCTACTAGTTAGCCTCGCTTACATGAATTAAAAAAAAAGAAAAAAAGAAAAATAAGTTCTCTGATTTTATACATCCTCTTTTCAACCAGGGACATTTAATTGCAACCAGCAGGCACTCCACCAAAATGCAGTATTTGCAATCCCCGTCTCTTTAACCGAGAGAGATTACTTTGGCCTCAGTATTGCTATATTACAATTTTCCTGCCTCAGAACATGCAGTTCATACATTTGACAGTTTTACTGCCGTAGTCAATGCATTCTGGCCCAATACACTCACAGCAGGCGTTGTGAAACCATCGGTATTTGGAAGCTCCCATGGACTCGCAAGAGATCTTGCACTGATGTATTGACATGCAGTCATCAAAATACACCACAGTACACATGTGTTCTAAACCAAGAGGGAAAAAAAAATTTGGTTTAAAAGGTCTTAAAGTGTTTTTAAAGTTTAGCTAGAAATTAATTAAATGAGCAGCTTTAGAAGTATGATTGCAAACCAACAAGACTGTGAGGCATAAGGAAAAAATGGTGACAGTAAAAGCAGAGAGGCAAGGCAGAGAGATAAGGTAAAATTGATCAACTTCAAATTTTCAGCATCTGCAACTCAACCTATTGTTTGATCTACTGGATTAATTTACTTCTATATTCACAGGCAAGAATGTTTTTCAGCTTTGTCCCCCACTTATGAGAGTTAATAAGAGTAAGGATGAGCTATGTAAAAATTACCATCAGGAATGTGTCCTCTGAAGGTAATATGCTACATATTGTACATATTATGTACATACATGTACATAATATGCTACAAAAAACTTCAGGTTTAGAGAAATTACATTAAAAAACATCAAAACCCACTTATTTGGATGTAAATGTTTCTTTCTCCACCCTCTCTTTTTTCAAAAACTCTTCAGCCAGATTAAATCACAGACCTAGAGAATCCTTTTTCATCAGCACAAAACTGCACACTTTTTTGTTCCTTTTCCCTTTTTTTAGCAACACCACCAGCTTCACTACTAATCTTAAGAAATCCCTTCTGCCTAAGTGTTGACTTCGTGCTTGTAACACCCATGCAATGACTTGAAATGCCATGAAGTTTGGTGTTGCAACATCAAAATGGAGCTGAGGCATTCACCACAGCTACAAAATAAAACCATTCCCCTGCACCCCCCCAGTCCACTTCCAGTTCTCCAAGCTGGCAAATTCCACCATCTTTTGTCTGTACTGACCAGGTGATTACACCATAAAACTTTGTTCATCCCCAAAAGGACTGTGATTACATAACATTTTCCAAAAGCACACTCTGGGGAAAGCACAACTGGCAGCTGTCCGCAAACAGGAATGTCTCCCTCATGCACATCAGACAATCAACTTGTGAGCAGATGTCAAAAGGGCTTTCTAGTCTGTTACTGCTCATGGTGCACCTAGGAGAAACCCACTGATCTACATTCCAATGTGGATTAGAAAAAGGTAATCCAAATTTAAATAGTAAATCAAGAGAAGTGTATTTGGTTTGGTTTTTTTTAATGACCAATTTTAACCACTGTTCAATTGTTTTGCTGCTACCAAAACAGCTGCAAGAAGGTCAGAGGATGTGCTGCCAGCCCACTGAAAGCAACACTGCCTTGGTCAGGCTCCAAACTGATGTACATGCAGACACACGGTATACAGTGCGATTGGGATCTTGGGGAGGAGAGGCAGAGCCAGAGCTGAAGCAGTTTCTGCTCCAAAAAAAGCTGTGCTGCAAGTAAAGCTGCAATTGTCAATAAAAATCTTGCAGTACCTGAAGTACTGCTAGGAACAATACCAAAGTGCACTGTGGCTGTGTAAGTCCCATCCCATTCTTGGCACTTCTATTTCTATAAGCCCTTATAATATATCCTGAGGCACAGCAACCAGAGGAATAGAGTTCTCAGAGAGCAAAACCTCTACCTGAAAACAACCAACATATCTACAGCTTCATTAAGGATGTTTGATTCACAGAGAGGAAGAGGAAAGACCTGAAAAGAAGTGTATCCTCTGGTACCATGTGCAAAGAGTGATAGTATACACCTAAGGTGCTTAGCCAAAGCTGAAAAGTACTAGGGAGATGCAGCTACCACAGCCTCCAAGGCAAGAAGGCATTCAGAGGCCAGACAGCAGCTCCAACTTTTATGTGGAATACACAAGGTCTTGGCAAGATTTCATCACCAGTGACAAACAGCTCAGATTGCCATAGTCGCAAGAAGAAGCACACATCATCCATTCCCAGAAGGCCCAGGTGGTCGCAGGTATCTGCTCCATTCACTCCTTACAGGAAGTTTTCAGTGGAAGGGTAGGGATGAGGAAGTAGAAGCAAGTCTCCAGGCAGTATTCTCATGTCCCATCAGTCATCCAAGTCAATGCTGGCATTTGAAGCACAAGAACTTTACAGAAGCCTCTGTTGCACATTACTTGTATACTCTTCATATCCTTCTGCTTAATCTCTAGTCAGTCCTTTGACACCTTTTTAGTAGTTTTCTACTGAAGTGTTACTACATTAAGTTTGATGTTAAATTCCATACGTAGTCTTAGAAAGTGTCAGCTGGAGGCACAGAGCCTCTGCCTGGAAACAGGGAATCCTGGCTAATCTAAAAGATTTCTTCCTGCAAAATCACCTTTTGGGATGCCATCTCCAGCCAACTGACTTAGTCTCTGGATAAACCTCAGAAGGCAAACTGATTCATGGCTATTGCCAGATTGCAGAGGAACAGCTCTTTAAAGGAAGCAACCATCCAAGGGGTTGCCAGAAGGGCTTTCTATCTGCTGATCAAGGCACTCCAACTTGCAACACACAAAGGAAAGCCTAAGGCAGGCCAGGGAAGTTGTCAGGAAAACTGTGAAAACACTGAGGTTTTCTAGCTGGTCCCAGCACTTACTGGCTGTCTTCATACCAGAGAATGTCCAGTCCCTTCTGTATCACCTGCTCACCTTCATGTTAACCTCATCTCTGACAGCCTCAGCAGTGTTAGTACTCTTCACAAGTCCTGGCGAAGACCCTGCAGAAATGAAATAAACTTCCTGTGGAAGGAGAGCCTGTGATTCTAGGATGTAAAGATCAATGACACTGAACAGGGAGACACCTCTCCAGGTAAAGGAGGCCAGAGGAGCAGCAGCTCCTGGCCTATAACTCTGGGAAAACTAGGTGGCATCAGTCAGCTCCTGTGAGACTGGTCTCCTGAATCACTCTCCCAGGATCAAAGCCAAAATTCAACCGTATAATGGTGGCAGCAACAACCAAGGACATTCATCTTGACCGAGTGGGGATTGGAGAAGAAAGTTTTTTTCCACCTGCACACAAGTCAAGAGGATTAGGTTCTCGAGGACGAGTACAAAAATGTTGCAAAGGGGACAGAGCACACTGCATGTGGCAGGCCAGAGCCAGCAGTAGATCCATCTGGTCCAAAGTAGCTCTTGTAAGCAGCTGGAGGACATGTCCAAAGTAGCTCTTGTAAGCAGCTGGAGGACATGTTCCATGTATATGTTCCCAAATTGTTTCTGACTTCTTGCTCACTGAAAGACTTGCCAGGTCTGAACCAGTCAGATTGTCCGGGGTGCACTCTGTCACAGGGCACTCCTGGTCCCCTCCTCAGCAATGCCTCTGTGCTCATGTAGAGGCTGGGTTACTGAAAGTTCCTCCCCTCAAGCACTAAATCTTGCTCTATAGACTGCAGAATTACACAGGTGGAAAAAAATTCCTACAGGCTCAGCCGGGATCCGGGAGAGTACTTACATTGTTTCACAAACCTAATTACAGAGTCACCACTTGGCTCCCTCCATGTAGATAAAACCAATATTACTTAGTGCAGTAACAGCTTTCTCATTTGCATTTTGCCAATTTTCGCACACTAAGGACCACAGACAGCAGATGCAGGGAGGGAGAAGGATGCAGCAGTAAACTTTTTCCCAGAACATTAATTTCTCACCTTTTTCCCCCTCACACTTCATACTCAGTGAAGGCTGTGTGGTAGAAACAACAACCAAATTAAAATTAAAAATGAACAAAAGAAACTACAGGCTTTTCTATAAATCTATAATGGTGTAATATAAAAGAATTTAGTAACTCAGAGAACCTTCCCAGTTAATGATAATTTGCTGTGTGAGATCTTTGAAGTTAAATGTGCTATGTAACTTCAGCTGTCTGCTGGCCAGTTTATTGGTAGCTCTAAAAGCTCTTTAAAAAGATAATTGTCCATCCAGCAATCATACCTTTTTATCATAAAAAGGCCTGGGTTGGAAGGGACCTTAAAAGATCATCTAGTTCCAACCCCCCTTCTGTTGGCAGGGATACATCTTCCACTAGAAAAAACACTAGTCTAGTGCCATAGTGCCAAGAGAGGAAAACAAGAACAAGGAGATTAACCTGCAACTGATTATGAACAACCAGTTTACATAATCTACTACTTTCGGACAAGTCAATTTTATGTCAATCAATTTATAAAAAGAAACTTTTTTTAAAAAAGCTCTTCCTAGACTACCTACAGAGGTAGATGTCTCTTCACTGGAATTCTAGCTCTCCTCTCCCTGTTGCACTGGAGTGGAGCAGAATTGCAGAGCAGACACCATCCCCTGTGTCACCAAGCAGTGTAAGTCAGAAACCCTTAACTACACAGATTTTGTTTTATCAATTGCCAAAAAAATATCTAGTTCCCCTCTCCCTCTCACCAACATCCTGTCATCATCTGCAACAACTAAGCTTATTTAAACCTCTGAACTCACAATTCAAAGCTCTAAGGGTATCAGCTAGAAGTTAAGCAAAGACAATGAACTACAAATGTAGCTCCAGATTAATAACCATCACAATCCTCTCTGAAGTAGAGGCTCAAGTGCCAGAAACAACTGATACAAAGAACTACAGCAGCTCCAGCAGCGCCTGCATAACTTTGGCAGCATTACAAGTCAGTTCACAGGAGGAAAGGGAAGACACTCATTAGGAAAATAACGGGGAAGTTCAGGGTCTGGCGGCTGGGTTCAGAGTAGGCTGGGGTGGGGGAGAAAGGAATGCTTTATATCCCACCGCACCCCACCTCCTCCCGGATCCACAGCCGCTCTCCCTGGCGGTGGCTCCATGCCACTCAGGCACAAAGCTCGTGCTTCCCGTGGCTGGTGCTGCTTTTCCTGGCACTTACCCAGAACTGCATCAAGTAAGTCTGGCACCCAGGGCCAGCTTTACGGTGATCCCTGCAAGAATGCGCAGTAAAGCTAAAATCAGAGCTGTGACAAGGGGTATTTGTAAGCAGAGCCTTTCCAAATTTTGGAATGTATTCCAGAAGACAGCAAAAACACATTTACTGTCCCCCTAAAAAATCTGCCTCTCATTAGCCCTTCTCCCTTTACAGGCCATGCCATCGACTGCTGCCAGCACACCATGTTGGAGGGAAGCATGCAAGGAGCCACAGAAGAACCACAAAATGGAGGAGGCACAGCACTGTGAAGAAAACATAAGGCATCTGTGTTCCTGCTCACAGGAATATTCTTTCAAATCCCTGATTGTCACAGCCCTGAAGACAACTGCTTAAGGGTGTCTCCATTTGTAAGACCTGCCCACAAGCCTAGCAGCATTTTTGGGGAGAAGGGTAAAGCCATGTTCTGTTTCTTCCACTGCAGGCTATGCTTTACTGCCACTGAGCACACACATACATGTTCACAGACCCTCCCTCTCTTCCAGTGGTTCGAACACTTGTCAGCTTGTTAAAGCAGTGACACGATTATGTGACTGAACTTTGCATGGGCAGGAGCCATCGGGCTCCAGGAACTTCCTCAGCTAACCTCACTGTGCCCATGTTCATAAGGCTCTTCAGTCCCAACCTACTACCCCTCCACCTTTTGATTATGGCTTCCCCACTGAGCTCAGCAAAACAGTATTAGAAACAATGCTACCCCATGGCTCACACAACATCCAACACTATTCCCCAGCTGTCCTGCTTCCACCATAATAAATATCAACGATAAAAATCAAGGCTAGATGCTAATTTTTCTTTCCACCTCCTCTGTTCTCAATGCTCAAATCATCAATGTTTCTATAAGCAAAATTTCATATGACTTTTGAGAAAGCAGAGCACTACAAAGTTATCTACACTGTGACCAAGAAAAGAGACTCTTCAGCAGGCTTATGTATTTAGATACTTAAAAAGTATAGGAACAGGATGTGGAAATTTTCTCTTTTCCAGTTCTTTACTGGTCACTCAGATGGAGAAGGCATAGCCAATGATTACAAGAATAGCTCTGACATTTATTTCTGTTTTAAGTGTCTGCTAAGGCCTGAAAGCCAGTGGCATTTGGTAACTATTTCCAAATATAACTGTTGGTTTTGGACTGTCATCATTCCAGTAAGAGCTCTCTCAACCTAATCTCTAATATGTTCCTAGTAAAAGAAATGAAGGAGACTTTTGACTAAGAAAAAATGGCAGCGTTATGTATTTGTCTGTGTTGTTGAACTCAAAACTGCTCCACGCCCTTGAGATGCAATTCAAATTCCAAGTTTAATCCAAAACTATCATTAGCCCATCCTGTTGGTACGGCAGAAAAGGATTGTCAGGGAGCAGTCAATTGGGTTGCAGTACCTAAGTACAGTGGGATATATTCAAACATTATTTTTTTCCCTGAATTTAATTTGTAACTGTAAGTACTGTAGTGTTTACACACAGGGCTTTTTGTGGCTTTCCATTTTACATGGTTTTGTAGATTATTCTCATAACGGCAAGCAAGCATTTTAATAACATCAAAGACGCATGAATGAGATGCTTTCTGCCCATCTGGTTTCCTAGTTCTGGAATTAATTTATTTTTCTAATGTGCCTTAGCCAAAGGAAATTAGAAAAGTTGCCATTATGGTTCCATTTAATCAGCAGCAGTCCTACTCAGAAACACAAGTAGGTCAATGGTTCACACTGGTACGGAAAAGCAGCGTGTCCATCAATTAGGGTATCTTTTATTGATAAGATAAAAGGGCTATCACAACAGCAACATATGGGATTACGAATATCTGAAGTGTATGTTGGGAAGGAAGCAAAGCATTAATTGCACTAATAAAATAAATCAGATGCTCTTTTTCCCCTATTAAGCAGCAATTTCACTATGAACTGTTTATGAGATTCTTTAAAGTCTGACGTAATGATTTGCAGGGAAAAGTGTTTCAGGTTTAGTATGGAAACCAAGAAACAGGGAGTATTTTTTTAATACCACTGTCGACACTACCTCAGACTTCTCATCTTCCCCCCACCCAGCCACAGCAAACAGTATTCTGAAGTCTGTCCTCTAAACTGAAGGTAAGAATATAAAAATCTTCATATAAAATAGGAGGAATGAATCTGTAAGTTAAACCCCTACCACCAAGTTACTTATTTTGAAGACAGTCTGTCACATATCCTTCCTTCATCAATCCTTCTAATCTTGCTTAGGTTTACTATTAATCCTGGATTTCATACAAAATGTCCTTCTAAAGATTTTGAGTTATGCCAGCTCAGATGAAAGAAATAAACAACAGCTCCAGATAGAAGTGCTTATGGCACATGGTTTTCTCAGACTTCTTAAACCATGTTTCAGTTGCCTAGCTCTGCACTGATACATGATTTGGATTCAGTTTCTGGTCTGTCCTGTCTCCTAAGCTACAGGTAACAGTTTCGAGATCAGAGAACACACTGTGCTAGTGCACATGAAACTACACAAAGTAACTGCCTCATGCCACAGGAGTAATTATAGAGATAAACTCACATGGTTCAGTGTCTCCTAAGAGCATCAGTCATCTTAACACCATCTTCCACGTTCCTCAACACCTTTGCCTCACTCCTTCTGTTATGTCATGCTCAAAATTAGGCTGAACTTTTCATACATTCTTATGGGAAAAGAAGAAGCGAGCACACAGAGAAGCATAGGATATGCACCAAGAAAGCTCCTGGAAGAGAGAAGAGGAGATGCTAGGGATTTAGACACTACACTCATTACCTTTGTCACTAGAGTAAGGTGTGTGGACATTGTTGTTTGGAATAGAGACATTCTGATGCTGTGGCTGGTTCACTGTTTCTAAAAAGGAGACGAGGTTCTCATGGTGTGATAGTTCTTCTGCCACAGGGAAGGAAACAATATTCCAGTTCAGTTGAGTATCCCCTTCTGTCAGTGCCCGGAAAAGGGAAGGAATTGGTTCATGCAACTCCTCAACAGTGCTCTTGGATGTTGGAGGTGTGTCACTGTAATTGCGAGGATTGCACATACCTGCAGAGGAAGAAAACAATAAATTACACAGAACCCCCCAAGCTCTTCTTCTTGGAACAGGCAGAAATATTAAAAGAATTAAAATTGCTGCTTTTTTTTTTTTTTTTTTTTTTTTTTTTTTTCTGAAAAGAACACAAGAGAATTCTTTCATATCTATCCCACTCTCAGCCCAGTAGCAGAAATGCTATCAAAAACAGCAGGACAAGCCTTCCATAACAGCAGGTTTCGGATTGCTCAGATTTCTACAAAACACACCTCTGACTTGTGAAAAGAAAAATCTCATCTAAACAGCATTTTGTTTCCCTTTCAGTGTTAGCATTACAGCTTAGAAAATGGAGGGTTCAGTGGAAGGTTTGTTTTCCCTGGGAGAAGAGACAAAGCATGGTATAATTGATAGGAGCATAAACCTGGAATGCAAGGTTAGGACTGAAAAAAGGGAGTATCTTGGTAAGTCTGAGGTATGTGAAACTTTTGATCACAATTCAAGTATTTAATTTCATCTGCTGCAGCAGTGCACTAGATCTTTTTAGTCATCTGCCAGAGATGCGAAGATCACTATCAGGACAGAGCATGAGTCTGAATTACTTTACTTGTGTAGAGACAGCCAAGATGAACCTCATTTTGCTACTTAGCTGGAAGGGCCACAACAGGCAAAATACTCATTTCTAGGTTACTTCTTCCTTATTTTTCAACGTCTTCTGCAGTATCTTTTTTTAAACCTTGTAATCTTTTTTCACTTTGCCAACTCCTACAAAATGTTTTTGATATGTAATGACGGAGCCAGTTTTTTGTTAACCATTTAAACACTAACATTTATTACTAACAATGAAACTGAAGGGCATCTCAATTTAAGTCCATTCTGTGGAAAAAAACAAGATTAAAAATAAAATTTTTATTTTAAAATTTAATTTTTATTTTAAAATTTAAAATTATCTTTTATTTAAAAGACATTGGTCTTTTAAACTCAGGAGCCATAAAAAACTGTTAGAAGTCACCTGTCAAGAGACAGGCAAATCCATTTTCCTCATGTACATCTGGATATAATTTCGGGTAGTTTCACAGACACAGGTTTAGACAGCTACAGCTGCAAAGCACACCAATTTCTGAAGTATAAAAGTGATACGAGATATGAATGTTCAAAGTCTACCTGCCTCACAGAGAAGTATCTCTTGCCCCGTAGATCCACTAGGACTCCAGTTTCACAAATAATTGTGTTTAACTAGAGCCTTACACAAACCCATAATCTTCTCAACCTAAGTAGATGGATTTCCATAGTGAACCAAGCAGAGGGAAGTTTGTCCATGGTGATTAGCATGAGATCTAGCAAATCTTAAGCAAGTGGTTAGCATTACTAGCATTTGGTAATAGGAATGCTCCACAGCAGTCTGCTCCTATAAAAAGGTGAGCCAAGTACAGACTAGGAAAAAAATAAGCCTCTTTTCCAAACAACCTCAGGTCGTACTAAAAAATAATTCCACTTACACAAACATCCTACTGTAAATGATTGTTTTCCTACTCCTCTCAATTAGGTTTGTTCTTCATGGACCTTTCTAGACTCAGTGCTTTAATAAAAAATTCCTATCCCTTCCTTCCCACCTTTTAGTAAGCACTAACATTAACAATACTTTAACAAGCACTGTATTAACCATACAATTGCAATAAAGGATGCCCACATGAAAATCAGTTAGGAAGATATCAAACCAGGGAAGAGTTTTGTACAGATACATCAAGGGATATATGCTTTATTTGATGTCATTGTATTAAGGTTGTGAAACAGAAACCAGTGGGCCTTTCTAGACCTGTCAGACCAGACCTCTGCCAGGTAGGATTCAGAAAATAAATGTTGCTGATAAAAAGGACACACAAGAGGAAAAAAAAATAACATCACGATTATTTACCAAAATCCTGCAGAATGTATACAAGTTTGTGTGCATATCAATATAGTATGAAAATACTACCTTAAGATGGTACCAAAAAGTCATTGGTTATGGTTTAATGGGTAAATGCTTATCCACAAAGATCCGTCACTCTTAGCGTTTTTAAAAGCATTTGAATTATAATTATATTTTTATGTAGTAAATATTATAAAATAGCAGCTTTGGTTAAAAAGAAAATCAAAAAGTTTAACTTATGAGCAGCCTGTAAGGATCAAACATGTCTACACTACTGCTTTGGAATGGATGAGAAGATGCAGAAATGGGCTATTAAAATGCTGGAAGCAGACAAGCTTTTACACAAGTGACTAGAAGAGCTTAACTCAAAGGGAATGGGGAACTTGCTGCTGCTCTCCTTCCTCCAGCATGTTTTTCCCTATCAGAGAAGGGACAGAACATACACAAAACACGGAGCACCACTACAGTTAATGGTGGAGGATAGGAGGTAATTCCTGACCTCAAGGCAGACGTGATCTGTAAGACACAACATTCTGTCTGCTTTTACATTAGACATGGTCAGCTTATAAAGAAACTTAAATATCAGCTCAGGTATCAGCAAAGAGCTGTGTCTAGGGAGTTAGGTATGGCATGTATTCTTGTTTCCTCATTTGAATAATGCTACAGCAAAGATGCTCCTACCCTGAAGAGAAGATGAATAGGACCATGTCATAGAATCCAAAAAGGCAAGGAATCTGAGGCACCCAAAGAAGAATTAAGACTTCACTATCAGGAGCAGTGTTAATTTACTTGGTACTGGGAAACTGAACCTGAAACTTTGTTAACTCCTCTCCTGGAAAACACTATGGGAAAGAGCTGCAGAACAGTGAGTCACCTGCAGATTTATGAAAAGAAGCTCATGTGTGGACTTCACAATCCCAAGAGGTAGATTCTTCCTCTCCCTAGAGATCAGTACACTATGCCTTACTTTCTACAGCAGATAATGGTTCTAAACTAGGGAAGTAATCTGCACTGAAAATGGGTATTTTGACACTAATCATTTTCATGGATTCAGAGAAAACTGATCTAGAAAAGCTGAGAACAGGTACAACATTCAAGATGTATCCCTTTCATGGAAGCCAGGATTTTGGAAGCACAGGGAGACTTACAACAACCACAGGAAGACAAAATTTTTTTACATATTAAACAAGAAACAGAACTAGAATGCAACCTCCTTAAGCAGGGACAGCACTTGCAAAGATCTGGGGACTCTGATTACCACCTGTCAGCAGCAATGTGTCCTTTCTAAGACTGTCATCTAGTCCTATAGTAAGACCTCGTCTGCTTCTTTCTTACCCTTCATAAAGAGCTCTTTTTGTAAATAAAAGAACAGTGGAAACACTAGGCCATGCATATTTACTAATAGTCCCAACTCTGTCCTAAAGGTGTCTCAGTGCTGTACCTGTCAATGCATCCTTTACAGGTAGAAACGTTCACACAGCATCCAACCCCACAAAGCAGGTGCTATGGAGTTTCCTCAAGATGACAATTCAAACAGGAGTTTTATATTTGGGAGACAAAGTTAATAATCAGCTATGATGACATTTAACAAGCAATACCTGGACTACTGCCACCCCCAGCTCCATAGAGCAGACACAGCCTTCAGATGTTTGGGTCTCCACAGTAATTTATTCTGTACCCACACAATGAGCTGTAAGATGCTTAAAGCACAGATTCTGTCCCAGTGTTTTACTTCTATTTTAAGACTATGAGCTGAGCATGTGGCAGGAGAAAGCAATATAAAAAAAGTATGAAGTCCCCCCTCCAAAACGCAAACTTACCAACACAGTCACAGCACTCATCCCAAAGTGTGCCCAGGCAGAGCATACACTCCTTACAGCAGGAACAGTTCCCTTCCCCAGGGCGGCACTGACACAGCTCCTGGAATCAACAGACACTCATTACACTGCAGCAATCCCAG